CAGGTGACATCAGGTTATCTTGACTGGCGGTAATCCAACGACGGAGGAATGCAACTAGTTTGGTTTTCGAGGCATTGTTTTTTTCCTCACTGGATAGTTCGTATTAGATCAGAAGAGAAATCAGTTGTCAATCTCTGATCATCAAGACTTTTAGAGGTGTGCCGGAATATAGGCGTATCATCGGTGTAGATGTATACAAGTTTATGAAAGAAGTAAAAGAAGTATATTTACTTTTTTTACAACTAAAAAAAAACAAACAAAATTCTAAGGAGATTGCGAAAATCAAGATTGATTTCATCGCATGACCAGTCAAATTATTCAATACGTACGTGCCTGTGAAGGCTTTATATATTGCCTTTTATGCTTTGTTTTTTATGCTAATTAATAAGGTATTTTACTGCATCCATCTCCCATTCAATTATATGTTACAAACAGACGTGACGAATCTCTGACCACGCAGTGAACTTTCACAATATAATGTACAAAATGAATGACAATGTGTCAAAGCACTTTCATGTGAATAGCCATGTTCTCTCTATGATTGATAGTGTGAAATTCGAATATTTTGTGTCAAAATTCGAACTCTGTGATAATATTATTAACAAGGGAATCTGTTTTCTGGTCTGAAATTGTTCATTTGTATCTCGAGATTCCAGAAGAGGTTTATTTTCAATATTAGCTTCTGGTGTGTGCTTATTTACCCATGTCTCCCCACTGAGACGTGATGTGACACAAAGTCGGGCATAACCTGGGTTACACCGGCCCAAGGACAAAAACTGTCCACACTAAGCAATCGTCTCTGTCCGCGGACGGAGCCATAACTGAGTCGCATTCTGCCAAAAGACATGATGCGGTATATTTATGGTGAGGAACACGAGCACATACACCCGAGCCAAGGACAAAAATTCTCTAAGGCCCCGCAACGGTCGGTTGCACTGGCCTCGCTGGTGAGCACCGATCCCTCACTCTAGTGCATGGGGGAGGGTGCAGCCTCGGGCAGATATTTCCCCAGGGCTGGGCACCTCACATTAACATTTTCCCCAGTTGCGCCTCTGTCCTCCGACGGAACCGCAACTCTGAGCGCACTCTGCCTGAAGACAGAGACACAACTGAGAGATGATAAAACCTACTCAGCATGTGTCGGGTAAGTATTTGGTGTGTGTGTGTGTGTGTGTGTGTGTGTGCTCATCGTAATTATAAGAAAATTAAACATATTTATTACATTATGCTGCATTTGACTCTCAGTGCTTTATATCAAGAATTAGTGTCGACTATTTCTTTAAACAGCATTAGCTTACGGTCATATGTTCGAACACCGGTTCTCGTACTATCATCGAAGTTAAGCAACGTTGAACCAGGTCAGTACCTAGATGAGTAACCGCTTGTAGATACCAAGTGCTGTAAGCTTAGATGTGCGTGTGTTGTAATGAATAATGACTCGGAAATGGAAATCGAAAAGCCAAATTCATTATATTCAATTACGCAGAAATATGCTTGGTAAAGATTTGAATCCACCTAGCTATGTGTTAATTAGTAAAATTAGTAGGAAATATATCAGGGAATCATTATTAACTCTAAAAATCTCTTGCACTCTAAAACTATTTTGTGGTTTTAAATAACATGCAATAAGACGATAGACTGTAAAATCAAATTAATCAATCATTCACTCAATATTAAATATAAGTAATTTTTTACCAATGTTGACACATGTATAAGAAAATGCATATGAAACAAACTTAAGAAATAAAGGTATACACCTATATATATATATATATATATATATATATATATATATTATTATTATTATTATTATTACTGGTCAATATATATATATATATATATATATATATATATATATATATATATATATATACGCGTTGCAATTCTGATTGATAGAAAAAGCATATGCTTTAACGGCTCCAAATGTTTGACTAGCAAGATTTCCATTATTCAAATGCTTTATAATCAACGGAACATGTCTGAAATTCGATTACCACTATTTACAATGAATAGAAAAATATGTTTTCTTACATTTATCGAAAAACATAGATACGTAGCTGTTTTTCCGGCTGTATTTTTCCTTTGTTTTTTTGCCTCGGATTATTTCTATCGTCCATACAAATGCACCATTTTGGCAGCCTGTGCCATTCATAAAAACTAAAAATAGAAAATTAGTAGAAACACATTTTATTAAGTTTGTAGGAATGTTCTCGAACATTAAAAATTCTAAAATATCCAAGTGGAACTCTTTCAGGAAAATGTTCAGCGAAGACAGTCCTTCATCAGATTATGTTAATAAAATACTCATGTTAAAAATGTTATCACAAAGGAATTGCTTCCGGTATGAGACTCATTCTAATCGAAAAAAAAGCCGCCCAATGTTCTTGGTTAAATATACTAGTAAAATATAAAAGTTTCCATCTACTAGATCTTAATCAGGATAATAATAATAATAATAATAATAATAATAATAATAATAATAATAATAATAAATACGAAATAATCTTCCAGGAAATGAAACCCAAGACTCTACCTTAAACACAACCTACAGTCCTCCAGAAACTGTACCTGGAGTCATCTTCAGTGACAATAAGTTAGAATTCCTTGAAAACCACGAAGCTGAAATCACCGAAGCGAAAAATGACGTCATCCAAGTACTCAGCAGAGTAACATTCACACAATTGTCAGACAGAGACCAGCTCCCGAAAATCCATATGACGAACTCCAACAGGCACATCGTGAAAATATACAATGCTGCTCTGGAAACACTGTTAACAGATAAACCACCGGGAAACATCACAGAAGTTAACAACGTCATATACGCAACAGCTTTAGCAGCGACTCGGAAGCTTGGAGTCAAGATAATAAATAAAATTAACAGACACAGAGAACCAGCTTGGAAAACCAAACTGATTCGAGAAATAAAACAAATCAGATGTGAGCTTTCTATATTAGATGAGCTCACCAGAAACCCTAATATTTCCACACGTAAATTCAAAAAGATCAAGCGGAAATATAACATTAAATCTCTAATTGATATTCCATCAATCAAGGAAATGCTGAAGCAGAAACTTCAGCTAAAGGCGCAGAGAACAAGACGATACGAAAAACGTTGTAGGTTCTATCGCCAAAATAAAATATTCCGAACAGATCTTAAGAAATTTTACAGGGAAATTGGAAAAACACCTATACATGTCGAAGGGCCACCATCTATTGATAATGTACAGACATTTTGGTAAAATATCCGGAGCAGCCCAAAGGAGTATAACCCAAATGCAGAGTGGATACGGCTTGAAGAAGAACGAATGCTGGATACACCTCTGCAAGAATGGGAAAATATATCCACAGATGATGTTAGGCAAGCTCTAACGAAATCCCAAAAATAGAAATCCCCAGGAAGTGACAAGTTGCCCAATTTCTGGCTGTATCATCTCACATCTACCCATGAAATTATTGCAAAAACATTATCAAAGCTTGTAAATAACCCAAATAAAATACCGGAATGGATTACTGAAGATATGACATACCTCATTCCAAAAACAACTGAAACAGCCGACCCGAAAAATTATAGACCGATAACATGTCTCTCCACAACGTATAAGTTGATCACGTCTGTCCTGACGAACCGTACTTATTCCTTTTTTGAAACAAACAGCATTCTTCCCCTTGAACAGAAGGGATGCAGGAGAGGTTCATATGCCAGCCACAAGCAAATTCAACCTTCATGTCTTAAACAATCCGAATCTTCATTAAATGCTATAGACTGGCTCCTCAAAATTACAAATGAAAAGACAATAAATTAACTTCTGTTTTGTTTGTCCTTAATCTTTCTTACGCATGAACTGAACAACAGTAGCTCTGGTTACAAAATAAATAAGAAAATATTCAATCACGTACTCTACCTGGATGATCTCAAACTCTGTGCCAAGACGACAATGAGTTGAAAGGCCTCCTCAATATTTTAAAATACTTCAGTGACGACATAGGTATGGACTTCGGATTAGATAAATGTGCAAAAGTAACATTCAAGAAAGGTAGAATTGCAGAAACAGCCTTAACAGATTTAGATTTTGTCACAAAGATTAGAGAACTGGAGCATGATGAAGCCTCGAAGTACCTAGGAATTAGCGAAGGAGGTGGCATACAACACCCTCAAATGAAGGAAAAAATAAGAAAAGAGTACTACAGGCGTGTACGTCTGGTACTAAATACTGAGATAAACTCAAAAAACAGAATATCAGCCATAAACTGTCCCTGTGGTGCAATACAGCTTTAATGACCAGATACAGAAACAGTGGCAAGATAAACCGCCAATACCCTGCCCGTACCAAACACGCTGACGTAGACAAAACCCGTACCAATCAGTGGTTACGTAGTGCAGGGTTGAAAGATGAAACTGAAGGTTTTATCCTTGCTGCACAGGACCAATGCTTGTTAACTAGAAATTATCAAACACATATACTAAAATATTGTGTTAGCCCAAAATGCAGATTCTGTGATAAATATCCAGAAACAATTGATCATCTTGTATCAGGTTGCACGATATTGGCACCCACTGAGTATAAAACCCGGCATGACAGAGTGGGCCAATATCTGCACTGGAAAATATGCAACTTCTACGGGAAGGAAACTGAAAGAAACTGATATGAACACTACCCAGACCCGGTTACGGAGATAGGACCTGTTACAACTCTATGGGACTACACAATACACACTGACGGACCAATCAAAGCCAACCGCACAGACATTGTTATTAGATACCACGAACAAAAAAAGCGCCTCCTTATTGATATGGCAGTCCAAGCCGACGGCAAAATATCTTTGAAGATATACAAAAAGCTGTCAAAATACAAAGACCTTGAAATTGAAATTTCAAAAATGTGGCACACCAAAATCTTCGTTTTGATGTATATATATACTTGATTATTTTAAATCATCTTAACCTATGAGACATAAAGCTGGTTTTCAGTATCACTTACAAATGAGGAGAGGTAAAAACGATGGATCCAGCTAATAGTCTTACCTATTTAAAAACAACTCTATCTTCTGAGATGTTTTTAAATAGGTAAGAATATTAATGGTGATGGCACAGGCTGACATCAGTTACGAGAAATTGCTCGATACAAGCAACACTATAACGACCGAAATGTATGGCGCAAGATGTTTTAATGTAGTTACTGAAAATGCCGACAAATATTTAAAGAATATTGTATGGAATTCCTTGATTAGATATGAAAACTGTTGCAGTTGCATTGGCAAATTCATTTTCACTCGCTTAAACTTATGGCAAATTGAATTTACCACATACACTACTTATGAAGAAAGTTCAGTCATTGTCTAGATGTCATTAACTCGGAAAAGCATCCTATGTTGAAAGGTTATTGTCTATTAATTTTGTAAGGAATGATAACTTTTAATGCACCTGTAAAAATATTCAGAAAATTAATTCAACATGAAGAACAGAGTAAAGACGATTATGACTTTCTTCTTCATCTTGAATTAATATATGATATCATAAATTCGGTTATAGCTGAAAATATTTGAAACAAAAGCAGAATGCATCTATCTATTTAGGATGATGTCCGTATAAAAGATAAGCTCTAAAGTATTTCTGATGAATAAAACTATTCCTATAAATTAACAAAAGGATGCATTAATCAGGCAATTCAGCGGAAAATGCGTACAGAAATATCTTAACTGAAACAAGAACATGTTCTACAATTTAAACGAATAGCGAAAACACATGCTATCTTTTGTGTTTTTGCCCTTTGGAAGGTTCGGTGTATAATCACTTTTTCTTGCCAGGTATTTTTATTCTGTCTCGCTTTTCTTGTCTTCTCGTCCTAATCTTCTCTTTTTATCATTCACTTTCTCTTCTCTAAAGTTCCTTCGTATCTATTCTTCTATTCTATCTTTGATGTTTTACCGTCTTTCTCTTTCACCCTCTCTTCATCTCATTTTTCCTTGCATTCACTCTTTCTATATCTGTCCTCTCATATTCTCCTCCTTTCTATTCTTGCATTAATTTTTTTATTCCCTATCCTCTCTCAATCTTTTCTTTTTTTTTGCGTTTTCTTTTTTCTACTGTTTTCTTGTTGTGGATAGAGAACGAGTTTAGTGAATAAACCAAAATAGAAAGCGGTTAAGGCAAGGATTTTCTCACCGGATTCATTTAACTTATACAGCGACATAACCCACAGAGAACTAAGACTTACCACGATTTATTGTTGGTGGGCATTATCTCCAGAACATAAGATACGCGGATGGTACTGAATTGATGGCGGATAGGAGCCTGAAGAACTATTAAACAAAGTTGTCAAGGAAAGCAGCAGAAGGATTAACCATATACTACAAGACGAGAGAATGCATGGTTGTCAGAAAAGGTCCCAAATCTTAGTTACAATTCGAGACAATCTCAGTCAAGCAGATGTGCCAGATTTAACTCTCTGGATAGCGTAGTAACAAGTGGCGGAAGGGTGCGACATAGACATCTGAAAAAAAAAAACAGTGGAATAGCGAAGAGTCTTTTAAAAACTACGCAAAGATGTCATTATTAGATAAGGATTGTCGACATGCTAAGTAATAACTAATTTCCTATACCGAAATGATGAGCAATCCTCTCACAAATGAAAAAAGAGATTTGAAGCGACTACGATGTTCTACAGACAAATGATGAGAAAAGCACGATCAGTGAAACAGAGAAGGTTTTCTTTAAATGGATAGGATATATGGAGGGACTACTGTTAACTATCAGATAGACGGAGCCAGAATTGTTGGGATTCATCGTGCGCCAAAGGCTTCGAAAATGTAAAACTTACAGGGAATCGTGAGTGCGAAAGCAAGAGAAGAAAGAGGGAGTAACGTGCTTAACGAATTAGGTTGAGTAGATGACAGAACAATAACAAAGAGAGGTAATAAAAAAGTAATGGTAATATCGAAATTAGCCGCGTCTTCATATAGGAAACATTCGGAATTTATTAACCAAACAATTACTGTTATTGTCTGTTGAAATTTATAAAATAATTTCTGATAATGAGTTAATTTTTAAGAATTGAAACTACTGAAGTTCCCTGTTATGGCATCTTTTAATAATAATCTGAATTTCATGCTAAACTTTTTGTTTTTGGGGGTATGGAATGTTAACAACATAATTACAGCATTATGTTCTCTTGTAGTTACCCTTCCTGGATATGACGATAAACTACATCTGGTAGCAACGCGTGTCATTGAGAGATTGGAGGATTATGGAACCTCCTCTTAACTACATTTGTTCCCAGGTCCACTTGACCCGGGGTGTTAGCACCTGTTAGAGTCCCAGCTATGGACAAATAGTGAACACCCAAACAAAAATCAACAGTACATTATATCTACTATATAACTAAGAAAGATACGTTTTCACTGAAACTATAAAATTATGTACAAAATCTGGAGTTGAAGGCATAAAAGTGCGTACAAAATATTTAGATTACGGAATTAAATAACACATAGAGGTGCTGCTATGCCGCTAAACAAAATCAATCAATCTTCTAGTTACAAGTGCTAACAGTTTTTTTCTTGTTAATATTGTAAATGTTCAATGATTTTTGTTAATTGATAGTCTCTTCATTTGTAATTTTGAGGAGCCAGTCTATGGCATTTAATGAAGATTCGGATTGTTTAAGACCTGATGTTGAATTTGCTTTGTGGCTGGCAATAGAATCACAGGAAATAAATTCTTAGAAAAGTCACAATTTTGGCTAGGATAAAATACACAGAAAAAAGTGACAAACAAGTGACATGTTTGTTTTACCAATGTAGTAGATTTTTGAATTACGCTTAACACTGTCGGTACTTTCCGTAGCAGGAGGCGTCAAATTATTTTTCGCTAAATCTAAGTATCGTTGATTCACAACAGTATTAAGATTCACGCTGTCTTCAGGGTCAAGCGTTAGCGATACTAGTGTAAGTGGTTAGGTTTAAAAAAAAATAGTCTATTAAAGAAAAACACAGAAACAATGCGAATTTTGCCTTGTTTCTTTATTTCCTGTGACATTTTCAGCGGGTTTTTTTGCTGTGTCATGGAAGCATTCCAATCACTGGTATGATTAAACGATTGTATATTAATAATATAGACGTTTCTGAACAAGTTAGGTACCAAGAATATGAAATTCTCGAACCGACGAGAAGTTACAAAAGACAGGAAGTTGTGGAGAGTCCTGATCACCCATTTATTGAAAAGATATATTTTCTTAAATAAAACTGTTTACATGCACGATATGTGCTAAGTTTAGAAAAAAAGTAACGTTAAATAGGATCTTTTCTGTTAATTCCATCCAAATAATGTAAGGCTACTAATCGCAAATATTAATTCACCCCAAGAAATTATAAATTTTAAATCAAAGTTTGTTTAGCTTGCATCGCAACAACTCCAACACTCAGAATGAAAAATTACCAAAAATCAGGGAGTTATTCACATTTCGTAAGTGCGAATTATATTCCAGGTACTTTCAAGGAATTATCACAATTAAAAAAAAAATTGTTTTTGGTTTGTTTACCCGGGTGAGCGCGAATGTAGACTCCTTACTTTGAAATAACGCTCACGAGTCGCTCACATTTGGGACGATCGTAAAGGTCAGCCTAACTGGAATGTAATGAAAGTGTCTCGCTCTGGAAGAATTTAAGGTGAATTTTAGTAAATATATATATATATATATATATATATATATATATATATATATATATGTATATATATATATATTATTTAGAGATGAATTATTATTTTGGAGTGAATTAAAAGAAAAGATGTAAAATGTCGTTAGGGAGGTTCTGCTAAATCAGCTGAAAATGGCTTACACAGTAAATCGCCAAATCAGTTTCTTCGTTTTATTCCGCTTTTGAAGCGGGCACTGATGAAAAATATGTAACTATATTTGTTACGTGACAGACTACAGGCTTGATCTCCTCCCTTTTATTCTCTCTTCTCTTCTCTTCGTTTTATTTATTTACTTCTTTCATTATTTTCTCTTTCTCAACTTTTTTCTTTTCTCCAAAGTTCTTATTCACTTACCTTCTATATTTATTATTTTTCTGACAACAACTTTTTTTTATTTTCCCCCTCTCTTTTCTACCTTGCTTTTACTTTCTCCACTCTCTCTATTTCCTAATTCATTTTGGTTTTTCTCCTTCCTATCTCATTTTATTTCTCCTGTTTGCAATTCATTTCTTTCATTTTTTCTACTCTTTCTCTCGCAGCTCTTTGTTTTAATTAATTTTTTATCTTTCTGTTTATCCTCTTTTAACTTTAGTCATTTATATCTACTTTTTCTTTCACGTTAGTTTATATGCAACTTGCTACTAGCATTTTTTTTATCTCCTTACCTTTCTCCTTCTTTCAATTTGACTATTCTTTCTTTCTTTCTCTCTTTCTTTCTTCCTTCCTGCTGAGACGTCAAATTTCAAGTAACGAAATTGAAGCCTATTTGTTCATTCCATAGCTACATGTAGTTTTCCGTGGAACGAAGTGCAGACGAATAATTTCAATGTGAAATAACGCAAGTTCACCTATCTTCTCTAGCAAGAGGTCTAACCACACAGGAAATCGATTTAAATTTTTAATTGAAAGTGGTTACTCTTTTCCAGACGCGTAAATATTTATAAACACTCTCGTGTAAAAGATAGTTTCTTCTAAGTGCTACCCGCTAACGTAAGCTCACACTCACATACACAGACGCGGTGAGGAACTTGAAGGTACTTGGCAATATTGTCTTTTTTATTTTATTTATATGCAGGATCTTTTTTTTTTCTTCTTGATTTGTCTATGTATTCAACATACATATACATAGACTCGAACAGTACGCGAAGACGGATATCAAGCTTTACAAATATCCGGTTATCTGAAAGGAAACATTAATTACAAAACAAATGACATTGTTTCTGTTTAGGATTCATTAATCACATAAAAGAATCAATATTGTCATAATTATTATCAAGAAAATCAAGATGATAATTACAAAAAATCAAATAATCAATTTTAATCATCGACGACTTTGAAAAGTAATTTATATCGTTAACAATCAACACAACACTGAAGTCTTTCACATGTATTAAATGCATTACTAAATATAATCTGCAATTCATAGATGAGTTAGAATTACACGAATTATTAACATTAATATTCTTGTTTCTGTTTCTAGAGATAGGTTTGAAACAATTGCGTTTCTCGAGTGTATAATTCATTTTGATTAGCTGTTTTTTTTCTCTCTTCTATGTTTGATATATGCATATATTTATATAGATGATTTTTGAGTTAAACAATCCTAGAAGAGACTTGTACTTATTAAATTTGGACATCGGCAATTTACAAAATACAATATGACATTTTTTTACAGAGATTGTCTTAAAAAAATTCTACATGCCTTAAATTTTATCTCTCAAATACTATGATCTTAACATTATAAAAACTTTGAAAATAGATATCAGTTCAACACACACACACACACACACACATATATATATATATATATATATATATATATATATATATATATATATATATATATATATATATATATATATATATATATATATATATATATATATATATATATATATATATATATATATATATATATATATATATATATATATATATATATATATATATATATATATATATATATATATATATATATATATATATATATATATATATATATATGTGTGTGTGTGTGTGTGTGTGTGTGTGTTGTTGAACTGGATATCTATTTTCATAAAAAATTACAAGAAGTTATAAATTAATATATATATATATATATATATATATATATATATATATATATATATATATATATAATAATATATAATATAAATAATATATATATATATATATATATATATATATATATATATATATATATATATATATAGATAGATAGATAGATAGATAGATAGATAAAGAACTCATGCAGCCTACTTGAAAAACTAAATGAAATGAACATGACCGTCAAACGAATGCCCAACCTAGATATAAAATCCCTCTATCGCAACCTCCCAGTCGAAAAAATGTCCAAATCTCTTAAAAAGCACCTAACACATTTAAAAATAAAACTCTCTCTACCAACAGCTAAAATATTTTTAAAAAGTCGGCCCTCTCATCACCAGTCAATTCTACTTCACATTCAGTAATAATTATTACCAAAATTATTTGGATTACCAATGGGAGTGCCACTCAGTGGAGTGATGTCATGTATCTTCTTAGAATATCTCGAATCCGATCCTTACCAAAACATTTTACCCAATCAACATACTTTCGTTATATCCCCGTGGTAATGATTTAAGTCGAACGTACAAGAGAATTTATATACGAAATGAAAGGACACAATTCCTTAACATTACTCCATCCAAAACAATAAAAGACTTAGTCAATACTAAAAAACAATTAGCTGAAGCCTGAAAGTGGCGTTTACTCCAGCGCCTGTAATAATTGTCACAACACATACATAGGAGAAACCTCAAAGAATCTAAATGAAATATTATATGACCATAAAAGGGACATTTTACAAAATAATACATGAAATGCATTGATTGCCCACCGTATCAAGACTGACTAAATGTTTGACATAAAAAATGCTGCCATGATCAAAGGAGGAAATAATTCACTACGACGTAAATGTCTAGAGTGCGCAAGGTCATCTAATTTAATTAAAATTTTCGTTTTGAAATCAATAACATACCTGATTTTGGCATCATTTTACCCTTTCTACATTGTAGTGTAATTGTTTTTATTAAAAATTTTGAAAAAATAAAATACACTTTTCTGAAACTTTATTTGAGAAATATTAGCTGATTTAAAGATTAATTAATCTGATTTGAAACAAATATTACTTACTTTAAGTTTAATATATCACAGAAATACATTTTTTAACACGGCATTAGCTACTTATTTTAGGTGTTGGCAGGTTAACAGTTTGAATAACAGACAGATGTTTATCTGTTTTTCCACGATGGATATGTTCTGTAAAATTTACTTGAGGAATTTAACGAGAACACATTTTAGATTTTTAACTACCAAGTAACCTTAATAATTTAGGAAAATATTCTATTTTATCTAATATTTTATTGAATTTTAGGTACCTTGATTCACTAAAATGACCATAGATGATGAAAAAATAAACCTTTCGTCATAAACTTTGTGGTAGTATTAAGAAGAAAAACAAGGAGATTTTTATTTAAAAATATTGTAAAAAATCCTTTTTAAAAACTTCGAAATTTTTATTAAATTACCTTATTAAATTATCATCATGGGACCTTAAATGGAAGCGTCTTTTTCGTTGAAAATACATTGATTTGGAAATTCTTACAAAAATCAGATAATTGTAGGATATTAAGGAAACTTTCAGAAATCATTCACAAATGAATGAAATTATTTTTTAAATATATCTTCTTCAGAAAATCTTAGTAATTTTTTCCTTCTGTTCCCACCCCATAATTTAATTTTATGTAATTTCGACAAAGTCGGAAAATCTGCTCTTAATCGTAATATGAAAAATGCAATAAAAGTAAGAGATTATTTGATTAGAAAGCAGTTTAATTGCATTTATAAATAATTTAGCGACACCCACTAAGAATTTTTAATTTTTGTGCGCTTATAGACGTGCCAACTTTTGTAAATACTCGAGTCCATAAACGAAAATAAGAGGTAACGTTAGTAAATTTAAAATTTAAACATGCATCTAAGGCAATAAAGCCAAGGTACCTAAAATTTAATAAAATATGCTTAAAATATGTAAATCTTGTAAGATTATTGGATAGATTTATAAATTATATATAAAGGCTTTCACGTTGTATTCTTAATGTAATCATATTACAATCATCCGCTCCTTACATAAATTTCCTGAACATCAGAGCCGTCGATAAATGTGCCAAATTCGCATAAAAATAGCTATCACCGTGTTAAAATTAGTACAGATATATGTTGTTTCTATCTATCAATGGCGCGCGCGCACACAGACACATACATATACACACACACACACACACACACACACATATATATATATATATATATATATATATATATATATATATATATATATAGTCATTCACAGGCAGATTATTTCGCTGTATCATTGTAGAGTGGGGGAGGAAAGGTGGGAAGAGCAGAGAGTAAGACGATGAAGGAGGAAGGAGGGATAAGTTTAAACGATGGTTATAGTCGTAATATAGTAGTGACGACTGTTAAGAGGCGTAATCTTGGGTGGTCACAAAAGTGGAGTTTTTATTTAGCACGCGTAGACAAAACATGTCTGCCTACGCCAGTTGCTGGTGATAAGCCGTTAAGGTGCTAAACACCATCTCACGCCCACAGGTGTAGGGAGAAAGTAAGAGCACATGATACTTCAAAGTTCGTAGAACATGATACCGGTCTGGCCGTTTTCCATTCGGGAAATATTACTAATATGTCGCTTTCTACTCTTATAATTTATGTGTGGGAGAAATTAGTGACAAGTATTTATACAGGGTGCGATGAGTAAATTGTCGCCATTTAAAAAAAAAAAAAAAATTTCGCGCATGTCCTTTGTTTTATTTTGTTGATTGCACAATATAGTAAGATCAGTTTGACACTCTCTGTGAGAAAAATAGCCCCAGGAGACTATTCACTCGACCATGAATTTGGAAAGAACATGCTGTACTGTTTGATATTCGTAACGGAAGCTCCAATCCGAACATTTCAGAGTGTTTGGCTGTCAATCTGAGGACAGTGCAGAAGATTCCGAAAGATTTGGATTAGTCCAATGGTGTTTATGGAGGTACGGCAGCTCGAAAACTCACTCTAATAAGAAAAGAACTCCCGATGTTTTTGGTGAAGATCTCAGAGTAAGCACGCTGGCTTACTTCAAGTGCCTTGAGGAATTAGTGCTGCCCTGGATTAAGAGGGCGGCTGCTGGAAAACTCTATGTCTGGCAACGGGATTTTACACTATCCCACACCAGCAGAAGAAACCAGTCATGGCTCTCAGACAAGTTCTATGACCGCATCACCCCTTACATCTGACCAACTACTTCCCCAGACTGCAACCTCCTTGATTATCATGTGTGTGGCGCAGTTGAGCGAGAGACTAATAAAACTCCTTGTAGCAACAAAAACGAACTGAAGGCAAGGATTATGGCAAAATTCACCAACATGGCAGCATTCAACAACTTAAACAAGGAGACCGTTCAGAAGAGTTGCAGAAGATTCCGAAGTTGTCTGGAGGCCCTGGTTGAAGCCACTGGCAATTTTATTGAATAAATTTACTCTTTAATATTTTAAGATATGAAGTATTTATTTATCGCACTTCTCTTTGTTAAACGACAGGTTAATCTTTTCTGAAGAACTGTTGCGACATGTTGCTATTATTATTATTATTATTATTATTATTATTATTATCATCATTAAGTGATTAATGAATAATCTTTAACTAGAGAAGTGAATTGTTACACGAGTTTAGTCGTTT